TCTGCGCACACAAGGAGGTGCTATTCCTATTCTTCTTCTGGAAAAACGAAAGAGAGCTTCAAAACAGACTGCAGCGCCATCTGAAGCAAAGAGCATACTTCCTGCGGACACTTTTTTGGCTGAGTGGCCCATCTTGTTATTCATTATCTTTGTTAACGTCAAAAGAACTAAGTACTGAGCAGATAGAACTTTGTAATTCTAGGGTAGCGAAACTCTTATAGCTTAACTGTTTTTTACACCTTATTGTTTAAGCATCAAACAGGTAAAAAAACCACAGGCCAGATGGTCTCCAGTCTTTGACACAGCGCATGGTAGCATCTGTGCCAGCCAGTAATGTCTGTGCCAGCCAGTAACGTGTAGCGTGTAACTCAGTTTTCGCAAAAATTGGAGTTAAGAACCCTGCCCTTCTAAAGGCGTGACACAGTGGCAACTCCTACCAACATTCAACTCACAACGAGGAGAAAGGAAACACACGTAATACTGATGTAACAAATGGGAGCCGTGCCGTGCTGACAAAATGAGCTACTTCTCCCAATCCGCAAAAGGAGATATTGGCCCTCATATGACCTTATGCAGTTGCAAGCGCCAATAAACCTCTACTAAACCAACAAATGGAGATATTGGCAAAAAATCGACACTCTTTTGTGGATTTTGAAGATTTTCTATTGATGCCATATTCTTTAAGTATAACTATAACATGCCTGTTATTATTTCACACTTATATAAAGGGTCAAAACTTCACTTATAAGCGTGATGTTTCCTTCTCCATAGCTCTCAAATCTGAGAAGTAACTCATTTTGTCAGCACGCCTCACAAATATACTAATAAAAATTTCTACCGACAAAGAATACTGAATAATATTCAATTTATATAATACCAAGATATCTAAAGCAAACGGCAGAAATAGTGATTAAAAAACAACAATGAGTGACGTTGAAGGGAGACATGATGGACAGGGGAAAACGGCGAGAAAGGAATATTGAGAAACATTCAACAAAAACCAACACACAAAGAACACATGGCCACAACATTCAGCTCAGGGCACATCTACAAAGTGACAACATTCAGCTCAGGGCACATCTACAAAGTGACAACATTCAGCTCAGGGCACATCTAGAAAGTGACAACATTCAAGGAAGAACATATTTCCTTGTTGCAACATTCAAGGAAGAACATATTTCCTTGTTGCAACATTCAAGGAAGAACATATTTTCCTTGTTGCAACATTCAAGGAAGAACATATTTCCTTGTTGCAACGTTCAAGGAAGAACATATTTCCTTGTTGCAACATTCAAGGAAGAACATAATTTCCTTGTTGCAACATTCAAGGAAGAACATATTTTCCTTGTTGCAACGTTCAAGGAAGAACATATTTCCTTGTTGCAACGTTCAAGGAAGAACATATTTCCTGGTTGCAACATTCAAGGAGGAACATAATTTCCTTGTTGCAACATTCAAGGAAGAATTATTTCCTCGTTGCAACGTTCAAGGAAGAATACATTTTACTTGTTGCAACATTCAACAAAAATTATATTTTCCTTGCTGCAACATTTATTCAACAAAGAATAGACTTTCCTTGTTGCAACATTCAACAACAACACATCTATGAAGGGACAACACCAAAAGATGACATTTGGCCACTCAACACACGACGACGGCCACACCAAAATGCTACACAAGACATTGGAGGTACTCGCATCCCACCAGTCCAAATAGGCTACCTCTTTTTCCTCTTTGAAACCAGTGCTAAAAGTACTCCTCCAAAAGTGTGAGAAATTAACTTTCTCCTTTAAAGTTAAAGTACTTCGACCGATCTTTTTTCTTTTAAATATTAGTTTCTTCATCTGTTGTATAAGTCGCATACACTCATGAAATATCTGGACAAAATTTGAATACTAAATGTTGAAGAAAAAAAAAAAGAAAGAAAGAAAAAGATACAAAACACAGTTTTTACATTTTGTCTGTCTCCAGGGAAATTTTGCTGTCTAAGCTTAATACAATTGAACATGATGCCAACGATATGAAAACATCAGTCTTATCATGAAAAGGCTTCACTTTTGCCCGAAAGAACTCCCACATTTCAGACAGACAGGGCGAGCGAGTACCAGCCAAGCGTCTTGTGTGCACACAGACACCGAGAGAGAAGAAGACGACGATAAACGATGAACAGAGAGAAAAACTGCTACAGAAATGTGAGAGAGAGAAAAAAAGCTGCTGCAGTGTCCGCTGGCAGGACTTACCCGCCGGGCTTTGCTCTGGTACTTGACCGCCTTTTTGGTGTCCATCTTGGCCGTCTCGATGTAGTCCACGGCCTGCTCCACGTTGTACTCGATGCGGTCGATCATCTCACCCTGCGCACCGAACAACCACAGGCAAATCACTTTAGCAACTTTTATAGTAATTTTAAAAAACCAACAAAAAAACCCAAAGATGAATCTTAATTTTCGTTTTCGTTTTAGTTTTAGTAAGAGTTTTACAGCAATTGCAACACAATAAGGTCATATAGGTGCTGAAGATCAGAGAGCCAAGAGGTGGATGACAAACAGAGAAGTCCTTACAGGGAATCAGACTCACTCTACTCACCTCTCTAGCTTCAACAGCACAAAGTCTGCTGCGACTATCAAGGCACCCCGGAAATAGCGGGCCACAAGAGTGTGACAAACATACAAAAGAAGTAGAGGGAAATGATGATAGTAAGGATTAGGGAAGAAAAAGCAGCCATTCCCTGTTGTAGTTCAGGCAGTTATGAGCATGACATTGTTGGATCAACCCATTTGCAATTCTACTGTGCATTAGAACGAGAAATGTCCCCCCATTGGGAATGGTCTAAAGACACTTCAGTCAGGCACAC